GAGTATTATAAATTCCTGAATATAAGATACATCATTTCTCCCAAATAAATAATGCCTCAAAACAAAAGGTCTTTATTATCAAAATGTTAAAAAAAGCCTTCTCTGAGGCATCACAGTGTAATACTTAATGCATGTACTTTGAATTCACATTATCTCTGTTCAACATCTGATTATTTACTGCTCGTGAGTTCTTGGATAACCTTTCAGTTTCATCATTGGCTAAAAGGGAGATACTGATATTACTTACCTCCTAGCCCTGTTGAGAGAATTTACAAAGCTAATAATGTGTCACAATGCCTGGTACAAAAATATATGTGTCATAACATATGTATTATTTCTATATTTCCTCCCATTATTGTACATTCATCTGAATGGCAAAGTACTAAATTCCTGAGGTTGAAGAGGTATCTGCACTCTCATGTTTATTGCTGCACTGGTCACAATATCTAAGATATGGAATCAACTTGTGTCTATCAATGAATCAATGGATAAAAACAATGTGGCATGTATTCACAACAGAATACTATTCAGCCTTAAAAAAGAGGAAAATCATGTCATTTGTGACAATGTAAATGAACCTAGTGGGAATTATGGTAAGTGAAATAAACAAGGCACAGAAAGACAAATACTGTGTTATCTCACTTACACATGTAATCTAAAAAAGCTGAATTTATTGGAGAGTGGAATGGTACTTACCCGGCTGGGAAACGGGGGAGTTGGGAGTGATACTGGCGAAAGGATACGAAATTTCAGTCAGATAGAAGAAATAAGTTCAAGAGATCTAGCATACAATAGGGTGATCAAAGTTAATAACAATGTATTGTATTCTCAAAAATCCCTGAGAAAGTAGATTTTAAGGGTTCTTACCACAAAGAATGTAAGGTAGAGCATATGTTAACGATCTAGTTTTACCCATTCTACAACATAAACATATTCAAAACATGTTGTCTATGATAAATATATACATTTTTATTTGTCAATGAAAACTTTAGGCCGGGCACAGTGGCTCACGCCTGTAATCCCAGCACTTTGGGAGGCTAAGGTGGGCAGATCACGAGGTCAGGAGATGGAGACCATCCTGGCTAACATGGTGAAACCCAGTCTCTACTAAAAATATACAAAAAATTAGCAAGGTGTGGTGGCAGGCGCCTGTAGTCCCAGCTACTCGGGAGGTTGAGGCAGGACAATGGCGTGAACCCGGGAGGTGGAGCTTGCAGTGAGCCCAGATTGCGCCACTGCACTCCAGTCTGGGCGACACAGCGAGACTCCGTCTCAAAAAAGGAAACCAAAAAAAAAAAAAAAAAAAACTTTAAAAAAGAATTTACCTTTTTCCAGGCTTAAAAGAAAGAAAAAAAAAAAAAAAAAAAATAAGCTACTGAACAAATAAATATGAAGACATGAAGAAAAACGCCTAAGCCAAAGTTCCCCAGAAAATACAGCCTGAGACAAAAACCTATATGTGAGCACTTTACTAGGGAGTGGATCCCAGGGAGCAGGGCTGAAGGATAGGGCTGAGATGGAATATAGAAAGGCAAGGAAAAAAATATATCATAAACATGTCTGTAGTGGCCAGGCTCGGTGGCTCATGCCTGTAATCCAAAAAAATGGGAGGTTGAGGTGGGCAAATCACTTTAGGCCAGGGGTTTGAGACCAACTTGGTAAACCTGGAGAAACCTTGTCTCTACTAAAAATACAAAACTAGCTGGGCATGGCAGGGCATACCTGTAATCCCAGCTACTCAGGAGGCTGAGGAAGGAGAATCACTTGAATCTGGGAGGTGAAGGTTGCAGAGAGCCGAGATTGCGCTACTACATTCCAGTCTGGGTGACAGAGTGATGAGACTATGTCTCAGAAAAAAAAAAAAAAGCCCATAGTGTTGAAGTCGTTGAATGTTAAAATTTGAAAATGTGAATCAAAATATTTCATAAAATATAAGTGGAAAAAGTATATTTTAAAATATAATTTTACTTCTATAGATAATCATGTAAATTGATAAATAAGTAGACATTTGCTTATTTTATCTATATACCTAATTTTCATATTTGGCAAAAGCAATACTGGATTTTCTTTTAGAAAAAAAGGGAAAGATTATTTTAAATTCTGTTGTGTAAATAATTCTGACTATCAGAAATTTGGAAAGTCTTGAGAAGGAGGTAGGATTTGAATCAAATCTTGAAGAATAATTTGAGAAAATAAACTAAAACTAAATGCATTGAGTGGTTACTATTTTTTAGGTGCTGTAGATATATAATCATATTAAATTCTCATAGTATTATTATTCTCAGTTTACTTATGGGGAAACTGAGGCTCAGGTAAGTTAATGAATTTGCTCAAAAAAATGCTGCAACCTATACTGGTTCCATTTTGAATGCAGCCTTTTCCAAGCCTTCTACAAAAAAAAAGAGACAAAACAGTGCAGAATGGATCCTGGAGAAGACTGGGTTGGAATTCTGCCTCCCCTACAGTCCTAATTGTTTGATTTGTGTAAAACACTCAATTTTTCTCTCTTAGGTTTTCTTATCAAGGAGATAACAACATCTCACCAAGGAACTGTTGAGATACTTAAATGAACTCTTGTAAGTAAAATGCCTGGAATAGCAATTGGCACATAGTGCTCAATGGGTATTAGCCATCATGTTGTAAGAAAAAGTAGGAGGAGGAAAAGGAGGGAGAGGAGAGAAGAGAGTGAGGAGGAAGAGGAGAGATGGAAGATTTTCACTATCTCAAATTGTCTCCTTGACAAGTAGAGTGCATTCGGGAACAAGGGTTCACAACAGTAAATACATAGATAAGCATAGACACATCTTTACCTGTTTTTTTTACTAAAACTCTGGGAAAAATGGGCAGGAGCTGGTTATTGTGGAATCATTCCAGTTTTTTTTAAAATTACTGGGAATATATGTTCCAGTGGTCTTGAAAGTAAACAGATTTTCATACTTTTTTTTTTTTTTTTTTTTTTGAGATGGAGTTTCGCTCTTGTCGCCCAGGCTGGAGTGCATTTTTTTTTTTTTTTTTTTTTTCAATCTCCACCTCCCAGGTTCAAGTATTCTCCTGCCTCAGCCTCCTGGGTAGCTGGGATTACAGGCACGCACCACCATGCCCCGCTAATTTTTTGGTATTTTTAGTAGAGATGGGGTTTCACCATGTTGGCCAGGGTGGTCTCCAACTCCCAACTTCAGGTTATCTGCCCGCCTCTGCCTCCCAAACTGCTGGGATTACAGGCGTGAGCCACTGTGCTTGGCCCATACCTTAATCCTTGTTAAGCCAATTTCCCTGTGTACTTTGCTCTCTGAATACCTCACTGTGAAGGCTGTGAAATAAAAAAATTATTCCCTAAGGATATAGCCTAACTGTGTTCAATGTATTCACTATTTACTACTTAACTTCTTTAAGTTTCAATTAAACCTATATTTATAAAATTGAAAAAAGAATTTTAACTCACACATGTTGTGTATACACAGCATATATGTTAGGTATTTGGCTAGAGTCTGGCGACTACCGATCAATTAATGAAATGTAGCTTTTGCCATATTTCCTCAGACATCTTTATTTTCCTATATTAAGATTCATTAAACCAGAATACATCTTATAACTAATGTAAACATTCAATAAGTGAGACTGTTCTTCTTTGTTTCCCAGGGCTATTATGAAGTCATTGTTGTACCTTGTAGCATTTATCTTTATTTCCCCTTAGAAAACACTAAATCTAGAGATTGCATTGTATTTGGTAACATTTATTTGGTAAGATTTGAAAAACAAATCTCTGTTTGTATTTTCAAAATGCCAAACAGAGATTAATAATTTTTAAACAATAAATGAGTGAATAATAATCAAAGAACTAAGATATTTTTGCGAAGAGGGAGAAAGACAATTGCTCAATTAGTTTATAAAAGCTAGCAAGCAAAGTAACTTGAGGACAAAGCAATGCTTGAATCTCCCAGACATAACTGATCTAATAATATTTATTTATAACCCACCTTGTTTAGATGGGTTACAATGATAAAAATAGAGCCAGGCGTGGTGGCTCACGCCTGTAATCTCAGCATTTCGGGAGGCAGAGGCAGGCGAATCACTTGATGCCAGGAGTTTCAGACCATCCTGGCCAACATGGTGAAACCTTGCGTCTACTAAAAATATGAAAATTAGCTGGGCGTGGTGGTACATGGCTGTAATCTTAGCTACTCAGGAGGCTGAGGCAGGAGAACGGCTTGAACCCAAAAGGCGGAGGCTGCAGTGAGCTGAGATCGCACCACAGTTCTCCACGCTCCAGCCTGGGCAACACAGCGGTACTCAGTTGAAAACAAAAACAAAAACAAAAAAGAGATAAATAAATGAGAAGTATGTGAGAATTTGGAGAGGGAAAAGGGGAAAAGAAAACACACACACACACACCCGTAAAACGAAGCCAGAAAAGAGCCACATAAATAAAAGTCCTCCTATAAACGCTATAGAAATCCAAAGGAATAGTTCCCGTGGTTTGGAAAATGTCAATAAAACTTTCCAGGTGGAAATGAGGTCGGCTATGAGGTGTTAAGTTCAAAAGGAACTGGATATTTGGTATCTCTAGCAAGACAGAGCTGCTTCAGAGTCTCCCCAGGGAAAGACGGTGCTTTTGGGCAGGTAGTGTGGGTGAAGGTGATGACTGAAGAATCCTGAGGGCCCAGGTTCCTGGGAAGCCTCTCTCTTTCGGCACTTCACCAATTATCTCATTTTCATAATAAGGTCTGCACTTTCCTTAATTGCTTCACTTCCATCAACAGGAACAGGGGAAAGATAAATACATTTCACTTTTTAATGAAGAGAATTTCAGGTAGTCTGTGGGAGATGTTTATTTAAAAAAAAAAAAAAAAAAAAAAAGGCTGGTAGGGGGCAGCGTCTCAGGTCTGTAATCCCCAGCACTTTGGGAGGCCGAGGCAGGTGGATCACTTGAAGTCAGGAGTTTGAGACCAGCCTGGGTAACAAGGTGAAACCCAGTCTATACTAAAAAAAAAAAAAATTACCTTGGCTGATGGTGCGCGTCTGTAATCCCAGCTACTTGGAAGGTTGAAAAAAAAAAATAGCTTGGACGCAGAGGAGGAGATCCAATGAGCAGAGATCGCGCCACTACACTCCAGCCTGGGTGACAAAGTGAGACCCTGTCTCAAAAAAAAAAAAAAAAAAAAGTAGTTGGTTTGTATTATTCTTAGCAAACTATCACAAGAACAAAAAAAAAAAAAAAAAAAAAAAAAAAAAATTCTCGCTCATAGGTGGGTACTGAACAATGAGATCACTTAGACTCCGGAAGGGGAACATCACACACCGGGGCCTATCATGGGGAGGGGGGAGGGGGGAGGGATTGCATTGGGAGTTATACCTGATGTAAATGACGAGTTGATGGGTGCTGATGAGTTGATGGGTGCAGCACAGCAACATGGCACAAGTATACATATGTAACAAACCTGCACGTTATGCACATGTACCCTAGAACTTAAAGTATAATTAAAAAAAAAAAAAGTAGTTGGTTTGTGAACTTACTCGCAAACAACTGGGTTTTACGGACTCTTAGATATCTGGAGGTCTACAAGGGTTCCTTGGGATCCCCTATTTTCGTTCGCTGCCTCCTTTTTCAGAGTCCAGCTCAAAGGGGAAATGCCCCTCTGGGAGCTAACCATCACAGGTGCAAGAAGGAACAAATTTACATAGAAGCAGCCTGGGGAAATTAGTGCCCTAGATGAGTCTTCAGTTTGAGAAACGCTGAGATAACACTTTAAGTACTTGGAAGAGTAATACTAATAATCAGTCGTGGCGAGGTTCCGCCCATTTGACATTCAACCCCCCATGAGTGCGCACAGACAAACCCACTGGCCAGGAGGAGCCAACGCAAGGTCCTGGGCATCTCCGTCCCGGGAAGGTGGGTAATGCCCTTGTCGCTCTGGGCTCCAGGGCGCGCCCCCGCAGCTTCCCCAGCGGGGTCTGGCGCCTCCGGGCCAAGGTGCGCCAGGTGGCGAGGGTGCCAGGCGCGGCCAAATCGCGGCGGTCTGAGTCAGTCGCCCAACTATGCTGCGGAACCAGGGCGGCCGGCTGGGCCGCCCCCGCCGTTGAGCTCCGGCTTCCCCCGCGCGGGTCGCCTGCTCTCCGCCCCCGCAGGCCGAGAGGAAGCGACTGCCTAGGCGAGGCGCGGGAGCACCTGAGCAAGGCGCGGGCGCCGGGCTCGGCGTTTCCGGAGCTGAGCGCGGGTCCGCGGCCCGCGCTCTCCGCGCTCCCCGCCTCCAGGTGCGGCGGCCGCGACGCGCCGGCCCCACTAACAGCGCCGCCCGTGCGGCCGCCGCCAGGCAGCAGAGGCGGCTGCGGACAGCCGGCGGGGACCGGGAAGGAGGAGGCCTGGCGCCTCGGGCAGAGGGGCGAGGACCGAGCGCCCAAGGCTAGGAGAGACGCTGGCCCTGGGCTTCCCAGCTCCGCCTCACCTCGCTTTTAGAACTCCGCGACCCGCGCGCAAGGCGAGTACCCAGGGCCTCGGGAGGGCTGGGCCGGCATGGCCAGCGCCGGGGTGGGAGGACCCTGTCTGGAGGGGTTGGGGCTTTTCGACACTTCAGCGGGTAAATTTCCTGAGCGCAGAGTGCTCGGCGCTGGTGTCCGCCCCTTGGATTTCGCGTGTGGGCGTCTGAAAGGAAACCAGAAGCCGGTAAGTGATCCAAGAACTCCACTTCTGGGATTTGACCCGGGAGGGTGACGATCCGGGTAGACAGCTAGACACTCCCTCCATTCCTCTCCTCCACCTCCAAAGAAGAAGAAGCTGTAGTGAGTTTCAGGCACCAAATTATTTACTCGGTAGAGATCATGACTTTGCCTGGGTGTCTGTGCTGCCCTGCACCCTGCTTGTTATACACGTTAAGACGACTGGCCTGTTAATTAACTTTAATTACGATCATTTGGCCTCCACCTGCCTGAACCCGATACCTTACACGGGAACCTGTATGCAGTGAGTTTACCAGATTGATCTTTCTTGTTTACTTTTGGAGACAGTTCTTTGGGAGAAGTGGTGTCCATCCTATTTAATAAAGTAAGTTTTATTTTCTCTAATTCTGGCTTGTTTTCTTAAACACTTCTCCCACCTTGAGGTGATCTAGAGTTATTTTGATTTGGGGAAAGGGTTCATGGAATTATATAGCCTTTGATAATCAGAGGAAAATACAAGAAAATAAGCCAGTTTGTGTGGAATAATGACATCTTAGGCTGTTGTAAGATAAGTATCCTGATAGCAAATTCTTTTCTTTTCTTTTCTTTCTTTTTTTTTTTTTTTTTTTTTGTTGCAAGCTTGTCCTTGAAGTAGGCTGTTCGGTAGAATGCAGCCTTCGGTTAAAAAAAAAAAAAAAGAAGTGTATTGAAAATAAGCTATTTTTAAAAGTACATTTAATAGGATGTCATTGTTATTACCCATAATAGTACTGTACTTACAAGCTGAGTATTGATTTCCCTGCACTTAAGCACTCTACACCCCCGCGGGCTCATGGAACTTTGCCCATAAGTAATTGGAAGACGAAGTTATGGGTGTTTTAAAAAGGAAGCTAACTTTTTTAAGGAAAAGAGAGAAATACCTTTAAACTCTTATTGATGACTTCCATACACTTATAGGAGAAATATTGAGAGAAAATGCTCACGACATTCTTTATCCAACAACGTTTAAAGAAGAAAAAAAAGTGGGTTATGGAACTAGGCTAGGGTTAAGTGCAAATATCTTCCTGGCTTCTTTCCAAACATATTTAACACATACACATTTAAGGTGGTTCCTAACACGAAGAGGGTTTTATATAGATTTGTCAGTACTCAGAGATTTATTTAAATTAAAATATACCTAGAGGGTGACAGAGCTTGTTAAAACTTATTTATATGGATGTGCATGTGTTTGCATTTTTTCTTCCTCTGTAAACCTGTCAGATTTTATGTGGCTTGTCTGTAAAAGGAGAAGCTGATGGTACATTTAAAAACAAATTCTTGTTTTTCTAATATCACTGCAAGCTCCTTGCAGTGTAAGGCTCATGGGTATGCAATAATACTTATCAGATCCAACTATTCTTGGATACTGTGGGTAAGTATAGAACTCAGATTATAATGAATTACAGTTTTCTGAAGAACTTTTACATTAACGCATTGAAACTATGAGGTTTTTAAAGTCTAGTTAGGATTCTGAGTTATAGACTTCATGGTATATGAGAAGGTTTTTTTTTTTTGTTGCTGTTGTTTTGTTGTATTACTTTCTAACCTACCTCCCTGCAACTGTTTTTTTTTTTTGTGAAAGTGACTGTACAAATGCTAAGTATAAATGATAGTCATTGCTTTAATAGTTTTTTTTTAGCACACATTTCCACCTGCCCTCATTTATTTATCGATACATTTCTTGGATACAATTTTTTTACATGCTACGTAGTGAGAATTTTGGGAATTCTTGGTGAAATATTAATTAGGTAGAGAACTTCTTAATAATCTGGAAAATATGTCTTAGCTTTGACCACATACGATGGATGTGAGATTAGAGGCTATGAGAGGCTGTCTTAATCTTTTCTGCAAAGTTCTGGACCTTGTAATTTATCATATTAGTTATTACTTCTAAGTATTGGACAGATTAAATATGTAATGGTAGTTAAACCATTTTGCTCACTTGTTTCTGTCTTTAAATGAAACAGTACTCAATGGTATTCTCACGTGATCCCTTCTAGTTAGAAAGTTGTCCTGTGAAATTTTGTTTCAGTTTCTGTTCAGCACAAGCTTACTTATTTACCCATGCTGCAGAGAAAAGAAAGGAGGCCTCATTTGGGTTGAAGTAGTCCTTTTGGGGGGCAGATGTGAGGTTTTTTTTTAGAGTTCCTGAGAACTCATGAAGGATGATGGGGCCACTTCTCTATGTATTTAAAATAATGCTAAAATATAAAACCATGTGGAAATTAAGGTCATAAAATTGGATTTTTCTCACTATTAAAATTTAAGTGCTTTTTTGGAATATATCAAATTCTTTGCAAAAAGTTGTTTTTTGTGGTGTTTTTGGTATTCTTTATTGGCACTTACTGAGTAGTAATGAACTGATTGTCATATACATGCCATTTTCCTTTTCTTATAGTCATGTCTAATTTACCCTTTTAGATTGTAAACTATTGGAGGGAAGACTGTATCTTCACTTTCTTTTTAGCCCTTAGCACTGTTGTCAAATCAGATAGTAGATGCTGTTTTCTTGAACGCCAAATATCTCCCTGCCTTATCTTGGAGTGAGTAGTGTTGCTTAATATATATTGAATGAATACATGTAAAAAAAAAAAATGGACCAGTAAGGTAGGAGACGTTTTCTGAAATACCCTGTTTTTGTAAGAAAAAAAAACTTTGACAGTTGCTAAACCAATAGGAATAAACCCTCAAACTCAGTTGGAAAAGAGGTCAGGGTACTATTTATAAATGCAAAGAGAGGAAACACTCACAGTAGGCTATTCTGAAACATCTGGTTGTTTGTCTAAAAATATGACATACATTCAGAGAAATGGTGGAGTATACATTTATACAAAAGTTTTACAATTCTGCTTTTGTAGAAACTCTGTAAGAATAAATCATCCTCTGATATCCCAAGAATTATGATTCTACCTTAGGGATCTCTCCATTAGAATTAAAAAAAAAATTCTCAAATCCTAGTGAATTAACTTAAAATCTGGATGGACAGCTTGAAAGAAAAAAAAAAAACAGAAGTTAAGGAGATTATCAGGCGTTTAACTTTTGTGATATTATCCAGAACACCTAAACCTAGGTATCTCCTATGCTACTGATACGTTCTTTTACTAAGTCAGGGAATTAGCACTTGTGGTTTTCACTGGATGGAAATTAATATTAAGTTTTAGTTTTTTTTATTGTGTTTTTCAGATTGCACTGTAAGTAAAATAATTAAAACACAGCTTAGAAAATCCTTACTCCTTGATCCAAGCTACAAAATGATTTTGCCTAGAGCGTACCTATTTTCAGCTAAAATCTCCATTATTCTCCATCCAGAAGACACTAATTAAATGCTTGTTGCTTACCAGGCGCTGTTCTAAGATCTTAATGCATATGGGCTCATTTCATCCTCAAAATAGCCCTGTGAGGTAGGCGCTATTACTTTCCCTGCTTACAAATGACAACAGTGAGGCTCAGGAAAAGAGAGGAATTCTCCCAAGGCCTCGCAGGTAGCACATGGCAGAGCTGGAATCCCTGGTAAGTCACTGTGCTTTGTGTCCCAGGTGTTAAGTCTTCAGGTGAAATTGTCATAATTCTTACAACTCTAACTACATCTCTACATTACTACATTAATAAAACTATGTTAACTGCCATGTTAGGTGCATTGTGGATTTATTAGAAGAATGATTTACAGTGATAATTTAAAGGAAAGTAATATTACTACGCAGACAGAAGAATTCCATTCAAACCGAGTGCAATAGAGTGGTATGAATATGATTAAAGGCAATATTGTATACAATGGGTAAATTAATAATAGCCAACATTTATGGTGCAGTTGTAACTCATGTCAGATAGTCTTATATATCTTAAATATTTGACTTGTTTAATTCTCACAGAAATACTACACGATATGGGGTATATTACCCTTGTTTTATAAATGAGAAAAACAAGCTTCAGGAAGTTAAATAACTTAATCAAGATACATAGTTAAAAAGTGGGGAAGCCTGGATTGGAATTTGGGCATTGTGCTATCTATACTTACTTCCTGAGCAGAACTAATAAGGGATTGAGGAGGGATGGGATAGGCAGGGAAGCCTCATGAGTGTGGTGTTACCATACTTGGAAGACTTGAATTGGCTCCCAAACGAGAGTAAAAAAGTCCGGGGATGTACAGGGATTTCAGTTTGAATAAGAGTTGAGACGCTGGCCCAAATCTTCTAGTCTGTCTTCTGATCTCCTTTTTTACTGGGTAAAAAGAACACATACTATAAAATTTACCATCTTAATCATTTTTAGTATATAGTTCAGTAACGCTAAGTATATTTACATTGCTGAGAAACAGATCTCCAGGCCATTTCCAGTTGGTAGAACTGAAACTCTATGCTTGTTAAACAACTCCTTACCTCTCTTTCCCCCTCTGGTAGCCATGGTTCTACTTTCTATGAATTTGACTATGGTGGATACCTGATGTAAGTGGAATCATATATTTGTCTGTTTTATGACTGGTTTTTCACTTAGCATAATGACCCTCGGGGTTCATCTATATTGTAGCATATGACAGTATTTCACTCCTTTTTAAGGCTTCTTAGTATTTCATTTTGTGTATATACTACACTTTCTTTATCCATTCATCCATTCATAGACATCTGGGTTGCTTCCACTCCTTATCTACTTTTGCACTACATTTAATATTAAACCTTTAAGACCATAGTCAGGTATCTTTTTTTAATTAATACTTTCTTCTTCTTTCTTCTTTTTTCTTCTTCTTTCTTCTGCTTCTTTTTTTCTTTTTTTCTTGAGACAGCATCTTGCTCTGTCCCTGTAGTGGCATGATATTGGCTTTTTTTAACCTCTGCCCCCTGGGTTCAAGCGATTCTCATGCCTCAGCCTCCTAAGTAGCTGGGATTACAGGCGTGTTCCACCATGCCCAGCTAATTTTTGTGTTTTTAGTAGAGATGGGATTTTACCATGTTGGCCAGGCTGGTCTCAAACTCCTGACCTCAGGTAATCCGCCCGTCTGGGCCTCCCAAAGTGTGCTGGGATTACAGGCGTGAGCCACCATGCCTGGCCTTAATACTTTATTTTCTTCTCAAGCAGATTTGTATTTGTATTTGTTTATTTTACCGTGACCATTGACTTCATGTGGGCAGTGAATACTTACTTTGGTCATATTTGGTTATTTGATTTTGGCTTCATATTGTTGCACTCTATCAATTGTACTATGGTCCTGTGTTAGCTGTCTTTCTGTGGTGATAGATGCAAAATAAATTTTAATAGACGAAATTCTACATTACCATTGCTTTATATAGCAATTACAAAGATGTTCTCCCTTAATTTGTCATTGGCTGTCAACTCTCAGGCAATTAAATGTAAATGAATGTAGGCTTCCAGGTTTAGCCACGTACATGGACACATATCAAACTTAAATGGTGTATACAACTTGAATTTGCAAGATATGGTATATTTAAACAGCATTTCCCTAGTGTGAATATAAGCGCTTATGAATAGCTAGACAAAGGAGAGGGAGACTATTAAGTCTTTGCTACCTCTTTACTATTAAATCAACTTTTTATCGACTATGAGGCATTACAGTTTACAGCACAGGTTGTGGAGTCTGACTCTCAGAAACACTTAGTGTTTCCACTGTTTACCTGTTGCGTGACATTCAGCATGGGATTTTCCTCCCTGCAGCTGTGAGGAGTAAATGAGATCCTACACAAATGGTTTGCAAATACTCCGCAACTATTGGCTATTATTATTAGCAATGCAATTCTGAAGGAGAACGAAAGAAGATGGATGTGTTTTGTTGGATGGGAAAGGAGTAGTGATTGAGGTAGAGAACAGGGGCAGAGGAGGTAAGAGCCTGTGAGTGACCTCAATTAAAAGAGATGACCACATTGAGGGAACTGGGCTTCCTGTAAGGGGTTTAATGGGGCTGGTGTTGCCACACCAAGGTAGGTGAATGGATGGCGGAGGAGACAGATGCCAAATAACCCGTTTTATACTTTTTCTGGGGGCTAAGCACTCAGAATAGAAAAATAAGTTAGTAGGCCTGACCTTTATCCTTTTGCAGTCTGCTCTATACTGTGGGATAGAGGAAGGAATGCAACCATAAGCATATTTTCTCTAAAATACTTCCTCATCTACATGGTTCTGGGGAAGAGTCAGATTGAACATGTCTTTGTCAGTACTTGGAGTGATTATCTTGATAGTAGTTTGCTCAATGTGCAAATAACACAATACCTATTTCTGTATTTTGTGCTGAAGCAAAGGCGGTGTATTGGTCCATTTGTATTGCTATAAAGGAATACCTGAGACTGAGTAATTTATAAAGAAAACAGATTTATTTGGCTCACAGTTCTGTAGGCTGCACAGGTATGGAACTGGCATCCACTCAGCTTATGGTGAGGCCTCAGGAAGCTTACAATCATAGTGGAAGGCAAAGGGGAAGCTAGCATGTCGGATACCAGGAAGGAACAAGAGAAGGAGGAGGTGCCAGGCTCTTTTGAACAAGTAGATCTTGTATGAACTCATAGAGAACTCACTCATTACCATAAAGACCACACAAATCATTCATCAGGGATCCACCCCCATGACCTCCCACTGAGAAGTCCCCTCCTACTAGACCTACTTCCAACATCAGAGGTCACATTTCCATGTGAAATTTGGAGGGGACAAAACACCCAAACCATATCAGATGGACTTCTAGAAGACCTGTACCCTCAACTAGTTAGTTCAACGTGCTGTCCGTATGGAGACTTCCAATTTTCCAAGGAATTAGTGATTTCTCCACAATAAGTTTATTAGCAAATAATAATTTGTTATTTGATTTTGGCTTCATATTGTTGCATTATATCAGCTGTACTGTAGTCCTGCATGAGCTGTCTTTCTACAATGACAGATACAACAATAAATTTTGATGAACTCAATTCCATATTACCACTGCTGTATATAGCAATTACAAAGATGTTCTTCCTTAATTTGTCATTGCCTCTTAACTCTTAGACAGTTAAATGTAAATATATATAGACTTCTAGGTTTAGCCACGTACATGGACATTCATCAAACTGAAGTGGTGTATTACAGGGACACTTGAAGGCAGGGACACTTTTCTCTTTTATCATCTATAGTGTTGGGTACCGTATTGGAAACTGATTAATTATAGAGAATTGAAGGAGTAAAAATCATACTTGAATTTTTTACCTGGGTACTATCGCAGAATGTCATAGTCACTTTTTCTGTCTACTGGCGTCACTTAGTCATTAAGACCAGTAAAAGCATTTTCTCAGGTATCTCTGAATCTAATCAAGGGATATAGTTCCAATCCATTGGGAACCTCTGTTCTGGAATACAACCAGCTCTCATTGTTATTGGGATCTGTAAGACTTGTATTGAAAATGTTGAAAAGTTTCATTATTCATTTAGCAGCCTAATTTGTAAATCTATATTGATCCTCTGACTACTATTAAGCCCATTTTCTCACAAAGTTTCTAACTTTGCTAAGAATGTGTTTCTGATTTTTCATTGATATGCTCTTTTTTTGTTTTAATGGATTGATCATATGCGTGATACGATTGTACTATGCTGTTTTCCATCCTGTCACATATAGTCAGGCAAAGGGGATTCTAGAAGTTGTCTGAATGACATCATGGTTTAGTGAAGTAACCCTTGGTTTTCCGTTTTTTGCTTTCCTTGTTCAACTAGAAGATTGATGACAAAGCTCCACTGGTAATGGGTGGTGGGGAGGGAGTTTGGAAGGGGCTTACTGTAGTGGCTTTCCTTATTCAAGACATTAGGAGGGGGAAGCCTGTCCAACCTATTTATTGTTATTATTATTATTATTATTATTATTATTATTTGAGACAGGGTCTGGCTCTGTTGCCCAGATTATTATTATTATTATTATTATTATTATTATTAAACCTCCTCCTCCTGAGCTCAAGCCATCCTCCCACCTCAGCCTTCTGAGTAGTTGGGACTACAGGTGTGCACCACCACACCCAGCTAATGTTTATATATTTTGATTAGAGACAGTTTCGCCGTGTCACCCAGACTGTTCTGGAAATCCTGGGCTCAAGCAATCCGCCCACCTCTGCCTCCCAAAGTGCTGCAATTACAGGCATGAGCCACCTCACCCAGCCTGGCCCAACCCATGAGTTTTTAGAAGTCCCACAGATGGTTTAGGATGTTTCTCACTGATACCTCCTGCCCCGCCCCTCATACTCAACTCCTGATTTGAGGACCTCTGTTAATGGTTAGATGAATTGGAGAAATCTGTGCTTGAAATCAATCTGCTGCATACTAGCTTGATTAAATAGACAACATTTTAAAACAGTATGCACCTTCCACTCCTCATCACAAAGCAAGAAGTTATTCAGCAGTTATATAGAAAAGTTATTCAGCAAACATTTATTGAGCTGAGCAGTGAACAGTAGACAAGATCCCTGCCTTCTTGGAGCAGTCAACAGATATCAGCAGTAGTAGATGCCATGGAGACAGATAAAGCAAGGATAAGGAATGGTGAGTCACAAGGCATG